AAAAAAAAAAAAAAAAAAAAAAATGGAGGGAGGCATGTAGCTAGGTGTTCCCTGGGTTCTATCCCCAGCACTGAACTGAAGCCATAGAGACTCCTTGTGGTTATTTCCTGAGCTATGCAGTGCAGCAACTGTTTTCATAGTACTCACTGTGCCATGTGTAAGTGAGAGACAGATGTGCATGAGCTCTGCAGGTTCTCAGCCATGGTAAATATGGGCTTGAGCACCTACCTGATGGGCAGTTGTGTTCTGCACAATAGCACTAGTCCCTCCAAGGTGATGCTGTGGGAAGGTGTTCTCTCATTTCCCAAGGTGAGTCCCCTACTATCAGAAAACCAGTGAACATTTTCATCAGCGATGCATGCATAGGGCACAGGGAAGATACATTACTGCCTTTGCATGCTTCATAAGGTTGGGACAGCATAGTCACCTTGCGGGTCAGTGGTCACATGACTTTGACGTGACACACCGGACCAAAAGCTTGGTAGGTAGCAGGTGGGTGACAACTTACTCAACCTTACTTAGATGAATTTATTCTGAGTGGGGGTGGAACTTGGTCCACAGCTGTGCCTCTGGAAGATGGGATCCTGGGTTCCAGATCCCAAGTTCCATTCTGAGGCCAAGTTCTGTGAATGCTCAGAGGAGCACTAGGCTGGCCTGGAAAAGGCTGAGCTTGAACCTGCTGCAGGCGGAAGCCCTTGTGGAGGGGTGAGAGGAGTGCAGCAAACGTGCTCATGCTTGCAGAAGCAGGGGACCAAAAATGTTTTTAATTTTTTTTAGACAGAGCTATGCTATGTAGTTCAGGACAGTCTTGAACTCACTATGTAGCCCAGGCTGGCCTCAGACTCGGCCTCCCTAGTGCTGGGATTACAGGCCTACTCCTCTGCAGAAGCACTGGCTGCCTTCCGAAACTGGGTAGTTTACAGGCCCCCACCATCAGGAAAGCAAAGCCTAGGGCTTTTGCCGAAGCGCGTCCTCACCCTCCGCGGCTGCCAGGGGGCGCTGCCAGCCCTGCCCCTGAGGCTCGGCCCCTCCCCT